TCTGTGTGGAGTTTGTATGTTGTCCCTGTGTTTGTATGGGTTTCGATGGGTGCTCCAGTTTTCTGCCACAGTCCAAAGTCATGCTAGTTGGATACTTGGCTTCTGGGAAAATTGGCCCTGGGTGTGAGTGTGTGAGTGTCTGTGTCTCCCCTGCAATCGACTGGCCTCCTGACCAGGGTGTAGCCTGCCTTGTCCACCTTCCTTGCCAAGATTGACTCTGGCTGCCCTGTGACCCTGCATTGGAAGAAGCAATTAGAAAAAGGATTTGTTTTTATTTGGTGGACCATGGCCACAACAGATATATACAGATATATAGACATTAATAATTAATGGGTCTTCATATGAAAAAGGCTGGTGTAGATGACAACCAAAGTTTTCAAAGGATAGGATTGGCTCTTGATGTTTTTGACTACATTGGTTAAAGAATTACCTTTTGCTATGAATTCTCTGAATCCTAAAATGAATTTGCTTTCTAAATGGGTTTCCCATGGTAGTTACAAAATATTTAGCCAAACTAGGTCCTGATTCTCTTGTATCTTCAAAGTTTCCATGGTAGATTTTGAAAAGAAAAATGTTGCATCAGGAAGCACAAAGGAATGACTGCAGACAGAAATAGTGTAACATATTCCCTAGCAAGATTCTGATTTAGTATGAGCAGACAGGAACATTTAACATCACAGCAGTGCTAATCTGACCAACAAAATTATTGGTCCTCTTTCAGCTTTAGAATTAAGATCATGCTGAGATGGAGATATGAGTCGGCCACACTGAATAATCCTTACACAAGGACCTTCAGTGTATTTCTAAACTTACTGGAGAAAATGGCAGCCTTTGATTAGTAAAACACCACATCATTTTGTGTATACAGTACACAGCGTAGCTACAGTTTACATTTTGTCATTGTGTATCAACCACTACACACCACAATATTCAAAACTCACATTACCATCTGCCATTTATTTGTTTGAAACCTTTTACACAAAATGGATTTCAAAGAGGCTAATGGATATCAGAAAGCATGCAGCGCAGATGTACCAGCAGTACAACAAGTCAGAGAACATGTATATTTAAGATCTTTTACATTGGATTGTTGTTTCATATCTCACCATGCTGAGCATATTCTGTTCACAGTAACGTCTTACGTTGCTAACTGTTCACTTCATAGGTTTAACACAGAATAAATTAGATATACAGTAGTTGTGGAAGAGATTGTAATAATTCAGAGAAAATGTAAAGAAGCTTAAAGTTCTCATTTTTGACAAACTGCCATCTTCATTTAGACATATGAATTTGTTTTAAAAATGTATTGCTTTGTATGTATTTAAAATGTAATTAAAAATAAAATTTGTTTTAGGAGAGATGGAAAGAAAAGAAATTGCTCAAGCCAGAAAATGTGTCAGCTCTCAAAATATTGAACCATTTAAATAGCATGGTACAAACTGACTGAATTAGCGGAAAATTAAATTTAAATATCCCAGAACATCAGACCACAAGTCCTGTTGTGTGTTATTATAATCACAAATGCAATCAATTAAACTACCGCCACTATGTACTCTTGAAACAGTTTAAATGACCTTTAAAATTTGACTTATTCCAGTAAGAGGGTTGGATTGGATTAGTGCTGCATGAGAAAACTGCTTGAATTTGTAATCTCAGTAGTGAAGCGAAGATATTATATATGGTGGCCGTATATAAGGGTGAGACTGTAATATGAACATTTCCTCTGGTTTTATTTTATTTTTAGAGTGGTACTCAAACAAATGCTACTGTGTTCTGAAGAGGTGCTCACTAATTTAACAGATGGTGTGTAGGATGTGAAAAGGCATCTTCTACTTCTTGTTAGTTCTGAGCTGACAGGTAAGAAAAGGGCAAGAGCTAACAACACTGTCCACTAGCTTTCTATGGGATTATATCCCTGTAAATTATGAAACATAAGTGCAGCTATTCATCCGTGAAACACATTTGCCTTTCAACAGAGCATACTGAAATTATTATGTTCTTATGAAATGTATTTAGACTGTTAATATACTGTACATAGGATATACAGGTACTTGGAATTCCCCTCCAGTTATTTCCTTGCAAAGTCAGTGCACAAGAGGATGGCATTGTACATTTAAATGCTTTATTCCTCTTCTATGTTATACATAAAGGGCTTTTTAGTAACTGCAGTACTATGCCGTTTCCATGGAAACATTTAAAAGTGTCACATTTTTCATCTTCCTGTGGAATTATTGCATTCCCCTGATATATTACTTTACCGGCCTTCCCAGAAAAGTAAAAAATATATCTGAGAAGAGGACAGAGTTTTAAATCGGGAGCAATTACCTATAATCCTTGCTCAGCAGCCCAGCATTAGCTTTAAGATAATACTTGAAATCCATCCAAGGTAATATAGTATGACAATGCAACTGAATACAAGAGACTTACATTTGTGTAACAGCAACATAAGTATCTGAGACCAGAGACAGTGTGTGTTTGATACCATGTCTAATATTCACCTATGTAATTAAATTATCTTTTAAGATTCCCCCTCACTTCATTGATGGTGTTAATCATTTGTGTTGCAAATGGAACAATATTTCAATATTATGAATTGTCCCACAGCTTTCAGTCTTTCAAACTCTAAGGTATTGTGAAGACACCTGGAAGTTGCTAAATTATTATATCCTTTTGTTCAGTTACAGAGATAAATTGAATTATTTATGCAAAATATAGCACAAACAAACAGGTAACGAAAAACGCAACTTGTGTGTTCAAAACTTTTATCTTTACTTGCTGTCGGTAGCAATAACAAAGGATTTATCCATAAATTTTGTGCCCATAAATGGAAATTAATTTACCGGAGATTTTGTACAGATTAACCAAAACGGTCCTGTCTTTGTCTCTACATTTCAGCTCAGGGTTAGATACATTATTTAAACGTATTTCAAACTTGGAGGCTGGCGAAATTAATTATTGAAAAAAACGTTCCACCTCAGCGAACGGCAAGTAAAATATTAAAAGCGCTGCGTCTTTTGGGTCGGCCAGGTACACCCTTTAAAATAGCTCACTGTGTACCTCTGCACAGGTGTGGTACAGTTCACGGATTCCATTCCTTCCGAAACAGGTCTTGAAAATAATGGAAGCTTTAGAAAGCAAAGATCAAAGATCGCTTTAAAAACAGCTGGGGATAAAACAATAATTAGTTCAGGTGGGTTCCTGCGTCAGGGTACCTGGGGATTATGTTGGGTTTTATTTTTAATATCCAGGTCGATTAAATCTAGTAATGGTAAATAACTTAATGACCTCTTTACGTAGGAGAGTAGTGTCAACAGCCTTTGGTATCCTTGCACAGATTTTTTTCACTCAATAACTGCACCACTTCTTAATTAGCAGCACCTTGTATTACACGCGCTCCTCTATCACCGGGTAAGCACAACACTAGCTATTAAATTAATGCTCCATTTCGGGACAACGTCTCGTTCAGAAAGCCTGATAGATTGGATGTAGTGTGAGCACATTTTAACATAACATAAAAAAAAAAACATTTTTGTGAAAGCTGTATGATCACGACCGCACAGAAAAAAAAATCAAAAATATTTTTCAGTCGGGGCATTAAAAATACATTCATTCATGCTGTATGCCGGATTGCTGATACATTTAAATCAGACAGCCGCTTTGCGGTAATGACGCATTTCTTTCACGTTGCGTTTTTTACTATCGCTCCTAATGTCGCCTTGCTTTTCTGGGGTTATTTGCTTTTGCCAAGGAACATAACAGACCATTTGAAGCTTGAAAATATCGTCATCAGGGGCACAGTCTGTCGGGAGGTTACGTCCCCCACCCCAAGCCTAAAGAAGATTTATACACCTCCCCCCATAATCCGGTGATGATGACACAGTGCTTTCTATCGGTATCTTTCCTAGGAAAGACGGCAAGCCAGCGGAGGCGTCAAGATGACTGAGGTACGCCTCCTCTTCCTCACAGAAACAAGTGTGTCCAAACGTGCCCGTCTCGCCTGCCTTCCTACCGGCACAGTCCTTAGTGAATCACTGCTACAGTAACAGGTAGCAGCAGAGGAGCTAGGTTGGGTTGGTAGCTGGTCGAGCGTATTAGCCTTGTTTCTGGTTTACCTGAATGCACTCATCTTCATAAAAAATATAAAGGTGACCGTTTTTGTTCAAAGAAAGAATAGTTTGTCTGCTCTTGTGTTGCACTGTAATCTACATCTATGACTAAGCAAGCAGTCAGAATGAGAAGGATATTGGAGTACCTTGCAGCAAAGGATCAATGCAGTGCAATCAGAGAGCCTGCATCTGTGATGCATAGTATTTGGTCTTGCTGTTATTAAAAGCTCTTACACAAATTGCCCTTTGTGTTAGCAGTAGTCATATCCAATTAGAAGTGTGTATCATTTTATAGAGTGAAAGTTTTACATATTCATTTTAAAAATACATTTTAAGATTCAGTTTTCAAAATCCAAACAGAAGGAACTCCGGGATGAAAAATAACCACTTTACGGACACGGCGTCAATCAGTCTCGAAAAATATGGTTTCAAATAATGTTAACTTTTAAATAATGTGATTTAAATTTTGAAGAACATTGGTAAGAGGGATAAAATAAGATTTGCCGTATGACAATAGTGCCATCTGCCGCTTGGAAACAATATAGTAAAACTCAGGCATTGAAACGGGAGCCTATCCAGTAATTTAGGGGGTACGCTAGTCTGAACCCCAGTATACTGTACACGTCATCCATCCAATTTCAGTAATAGCTTAGTATTAAATATTAAATACAATATTTCTTTACAATGCCGTTCTTAATGTCACCACAGACTTAAAGAAGAAACCCAGAAAACTGCACATTCAAAAATATATTTATTTTTTTCACATATGATAACGTGTTTACGTCAACCAAACTTTCAATGCACCCGCCTCCTTCGCTTCCTCGATTTAATTACGACCGTCATCACTTCAGATGAACAAATGAGTGCCGGAATGACGAAGGAACTTTAAATTCGACGCAGTCGAAGTACGGGGAACAATATAATAGCTGCACACGACGGTCGTCACGCAATATCTTCCCTGGTAGTTTTAATCTTGAAAATCGCTGTGAACGCAGTGCGTTTTGGAACATGATTCAGAATGCTTGCAGAAGCTTTGTTTTCATAGCATTCAGGCGACAAAATATCTGGAGTTTTACGCCCTCGGTCCCCGGTGTCAGGCGCCTCCAGGTTTCTGTCGCCAGATTATCCGAGGACGGAGTGAAGGACAAGGAACACAAACAGAGCTTCGATACCTCACTGTTGGAATTTTTAGTTTGCCCCTTGTCTAAGAAACCGCTGCGGTGAGAACTCGGTTTGTAATATTCATAGCATGTTTTAATTGAGCCAAAACCCTTTTATAATGCAGATTTTATATGCTGTGCCAAATCGCTACATTGCTGCAACGTCTTAATCTAGAGTCAGTATTTCGACCTGTTGTGATGGCAGTATTAAAGCGGTTATCGCATTTGCAAATGTATTCGCATTCACGATTGTTGCAAAAGAATATTGGCGTGACTGAACAGTTTTTTTTTTACCAGTGTCTTAAAGTCTTTATTTTCCCAGATACGACGAGAAGACCAACGAACTGATAAACGAGGAGCTCGGAATATCTTATCCCATAATTGACGGTATACCGAACTTGATACCCCAGGACGCCAGGATGATTGGCAGAGACTCGCAGAAGAAATAGCAACCGCAAGAATAATTTTTGAACAACCTTTCCATAAAATTTTTTTAACGCTTTTAAATCGGCGAGAAATTTTCATTTTTCACAATGGTATTTTCTCTGTCCACCGTGACGGTGCTGGTTCCAATTATCTCTCTGTGTGGACTCTTTTACTCGGCGAGTGTCGATGAGAACTTCCCACAGGGATGCACCAACACCAGCAGTTTGTGTTTCTATAGTCTCTTGCTCCCAGTAACCATACCAGTGTACGTGTTCTTTCATCTCTGGAAGTGGATGGGAATCAAGCTTTTCAAACATAATTAAATGCCTTGCTGTACGTGCCTTAGACGTTGTTTCAAAAGTAATTAAAGACAGAAAATAATTCGAGTTTTAGGCATGTAGATTTTTTTAAACATGGTTTACCAGTGTATATGATCATTCAGTTTTACTATTTGACATCAAGTACACCACAAGAACAATAAAAAATTCTGTCCACAAAAATGAAATCTAGTAACTTTTATTCATATAAGAATTCAATATTATTGCAGAGGTGTCTAAACATTGTCAGCAGAAATGCATAGAAAATTAAGTAGAATTGTGTAAGAGATCATAAAGTTTAACAGATCAACACATAGATAAACGTGAAAACTGCAAGTGTTTACAAGTCTATTTATAAAAAGCTTATTACAGATATTTACTATTTTGAGCATATGGAATAAGTATCAACTGGAATTTATATTAACATTCCATGTCAATGCAGAGAAATTGAGAACATTAATATAAAAAAATAATACAAATTATTTAGTGAATATTAATGAAAGTGTTACATATTGAAATCTAAAGTTTAAACGCAACAATCAACTGTAGTAGGGTATGAGTTGAGCTAAAATACATTTGTTACTAGAATACTTTTTTATTTAACCATGCTTGTATCTTAACTCTTAAAAATGCTGTACCTTAACACAGTAGGAACATCTTTTCCACTTTCTAAGCAAAACAACTTCAAAAGCATTCTGAACTGACTTTTAATTTCATATTGGTCTTTGTATCATTTACATTTTTTCTGATTTGCCATATCCAATTTCATTAGGGGAGAGAGTGGCTTGGGGGAGTCCCCCTCTCCTTTAAGCCTGAAGAAAAAAGACTCATTGAGCTGCGTTTGAATATATTTTCCGTCCTCGCATCTGCGAAACTGAGAGATACCAAATTTATTTCGAATGCTAATCTGATTTTCTTTTGAAATGTTGCATGTTACCCTGTGAGCCAAAGAGCAATCTTTTGGAAGAGAGGAGTCATTTTTCGAAGACATGCTCACCTCATTGTTTCTTTCTATAATGTGGCCCGGCATACTGACTGGGGTCAGTGTTGCCCTGGCTCTGTTGGGCAGACTCAAATCAACTACTTGGTCTGAACACTTCATCTCTCTGCATAGGTTGTAAAACTTAAAAGAAGCAGTAAACTCGCTAGAGCTGAAGAAATCATGGGTCTGTGTGGCTTTCTCAGCTGTTGGCTTCACAGGTATTCCAGATGGCAGGAAAGATGACAACTCTACTTCGGTGTGCTGACCATTCTTGGCATCTCCTGGGTTTGTAGCTGCACAGGCACTGTCTTCACTTGAGGTTTCCACTGTCAGGAAAGTCCTCTGAGTTAGGAAAAGTTCCTGGCTGTTGAAAGTTTCTGCTGTTTCTTGTGCGGAGTCAGGTCGATGTTTATTTTTTCTCCTTGGGCCTAGCACATTCACTTTGTGTTTAGAATTTAAAGAGTCTTTATCAATAGCAAGCTTTAAAGACGGTAATGGTTCTGTGCTGCTCCAGTTGTCTGAGGATTCCCCTTGCATTTCTCCTACTTGCCCTTCTGCGTTTTTCTTTTGTGCAGATGCACCTTCAAATGCTGAGGACTCCACACCAACGTTTTTACTGGGAAATGTTCCAGTATCCAGTGATACATTCTTAGGAAACTTTACAGCTCTGTCATTCTCTTGTCCACTGGAGTGAGTCTTTTCATATGTCGGATAACTTACGATGCTATACCCCCATTCTTGCTCAGACTGAGTGATTCTGGTATTGTCACAGGCCACACTGCTCCTCCTAAGTGTAAGGTTTTCTTTACTACTGTCCTGGTTGGAACTATCTGAATTGTACTTTTTCTTCTTTGGTTTCTTAAAATAACTATTCACAGGAAGCAACAGAGAGGAGTCTTGATTTTTAGTTAGCTTGACTTTCTTGGTTTCTGTCTGCATCTCAATGCCTCTGTCAAGGTTACTTCTTTTGGACTTCTTTTTCTTAATTTTTAGCGAGCTGATTTTTCTCGCTTCACCGATGGGATGTGCTACAGGACAAAAGTCATCTCTAAGCTCTGTTTGGTGTTTCTTCTCTTTTCTACGGCTTTTGGATTTCTTTGATTTCTTAGACTTTTTGCTTTTCTTAATCTCATCTAAAGTGCCAAATAGTGATGTAGTTGAATTAAAATCTTCCAAGTCTTCACTCAAGGGTTTGTTCGAACACATCTAAAATTATACATGCATAATAATATATAAACATTGAATAAATGTTTTGCAATCCATGCATCTGACCTACCAAATTAAAAACTATTTTGCTTTCATTTGATTAAGTACAATTTGTTTTTCAAAACAATTTTAGGTATTTAATGCCTTTGTAAAACTCACAGTTTTATTCATCATGGTAGTAATAGTAGAAAACGTAATATTGTTCATTTTATGCAAATTAATATAGATTATGGAAAATACACATTAAAAACATATAAACATGCCTTTAACATATAAACACAGCTTTAACTGTGATGGTGTCTTTTTGCTAAATGAAACAAAATGACAAACAATAACCATTACATTAATACCTACCAGATATTTCACACACTCTTTTTTATCTTTCACAGCTGGTGTGCTGCACACCATTTTTTTCTTCTTTAGCATTTTTGATATCCAGGGAACTGACAATCTGTAAATATAATGAAATTTCCCCTAAGAAACAGAAAAGTAGTTTTTCATCTTAAAAAAATTATACTGCATCTTTTAAATCAGATATAAAGTACAGTATTTCCTATCTTAAACTCTTAAATACCAACAACAAATCTAGAAAACTGCAGACTCACCTGTCCTCAAGTACTGGGGTTTGGTCACCCTGGCACTCACGGTTTTCTTTTGAATAGTTTTCTATTTAATTGGGGAAAAAAAGACAATGGTACGAATCACACAATGTTGTTTTTCCTTTATTGCAGAATTTATAGCAGTGGCCCAGCAAAATCTAGGCCGTAAATCCTGAAATCGTTAAACTACCAAGATACAGTATATATTAAAATGCAAAGTTAAAAGATAAATTAAGTATTAAAATATATTTCGTTTCGCCTATTTTTACACCCTGCCTTTTAGGACAATATTTTAATAGGAATTTCCAGTTTCACAAGAAAGCATAGTTTTATCGTTTGTACATGCAGTGAATTAAAACAAGATTTCATTTTAGGATGTGTAATTTTTATTGCCATCATCCGGAGTTGTAACCGCTAAAATACAACACTGCTTTTACCTAGTATTTACCATATCTAAATTTACTGTATCGATAAAATAATACGCGAAAAAGATCAGGTATCCATGAAAGAATCAGGTAACATACTGTAGGCCCATCATGTTTTCAAGTCTAGTGGTTACATAAGGTTTTAAGTAATTTCCTTCAGATTATAATATGTATTTCCGTGCAGTATTCCAGATTGTCTTTTCAAATCGTAATTACTCGCGTTAAACTTCACCCCAAAATACAAAAAATATAAAATAGCATCTGATGTGACAACTACAGCATACGAACATGCTAGGTATGTGACCTATGTATCTCATTTAATAGGCACTGATTAATAACCAAAAAGAAAAACGAATATATATTCATACCAGTTACATTCCAAGTCTGACAATCACATTTATACGATATATATATATATTGATTATGTATTCTAATTTTGAATATAGCTACCTCCCCATGAGTCACCTCAACAGTAACTAAAATATAGTAATATGATATTACGGGCTAAAACTACTGACTAATTAACATATTTGATTTGAAAATATGATTTTACCTTGCTCTTTTGACACCACCTACTTTATTTTCTTAAGTCCCGCCTGTGGACTTTGCATTTTTCGAAAGGCGCTGATGCGCCTTTTTTACCCATATTTATACGAACACGATACCCTTTCTAGCCAATGAACTGATGTTTATTTTATTAAATAGTACGGTGGGACCATAAAATAAACGTATAAAAAAATAACATACAGACTCCCCGCAGGAAAGGTTCTGTCAAAAAGTTTCTTTATTTGTTTCACTGACCAAAAATTACGCGCTAAATTTACATATTTCGCCAGTTCAATGGATTAGCAATAGCAAACTGTGAGAAGGGTTGCAAGGACATTTTAAAATAACGGTTTATTGAACGAAGACTATTTTGTGTTTCATCTAACATTTATTTTTTTTACCACTTTCGTAATTAATTGAAATTGGAATATTGGACTTTAAAAGGCAAGTAACATTTTGAATTTGGATGACACAGGAGCGTTACGTGTTTAAACTTGTTACAATGAATTCCTGATTAAAAAAGAGAACTCACAGGTGGCAGCAGCTTGACATGGTTGAAAGAAGTCAGGTGAGTCATAAATTTACTTTCCATATTCTTGTTAATAAATCATTGTAATTGTATTATATAGTTAACATTTAAAGTAGCACAGAGGGAAAGTTCTGTTCCAGACGTTTCAGGCCTTCTAAAATACAGTGAAAGTTTTTTTTATTTGATTACATAAACCATTAATTTATTTAAATACAAGGAATTCATTAAATAATCATACCAACAATGCAACTGGGAGCTCAGGAGAAGTTGAAAACTGAAAGACACTAGTGTTTAGTCTAATTATATAATTAAGACACCATGCCCCAGGAATTAATTTGAGACATTTTGCCTCACAGTCAGCTTCATAACAATTATTTAAAAATCTTGTCTGAGTGAGGACTATGGTCTTGCTATTGTATTGTAATTAAACTTTACATTTGCTTTACATGAATGGTTATTCTACTTGCATCAGCAGTAGTGGCTTGTCTCCAGAGCTGTAAATATAACAAGAGCTGGGTGTACAAGAGATATTTTATAGGCCTGTTTGATTTAATATGCACTCTATAAACAGTTTACTGTACGTCTTTGAAGTAAAATTTCAGCAGCAGTCTCAAACTCTGTCCCTTGAACGCATTGTGTCTTTTCAGTTAAACCAGTTATCAAAACATATGGTGTTGTCAAGTCCTTTTAGTTCTCAGACTCCTTATTTGTGAAACTCCATACAGACTGACTGTAGGGATCTGTGGTCTTCTTTCAGTGACAACTCAAGGTGCGTTTTTTATAGTACCTCAAGAACAAATCCTTTCCTAATATATCGCACTGTAGTTTGATCAGTGCTGTTTTATTAGCATGAATGGTATTAGATCCCTTTCCACAGAAAAATAGTTTAAATTGTAATTTTACTTGGTGAATAATTTTAAATAGCTTAAATAGTGTTAAAATGACAGGAGTGAAATCATTCATTTTTAATGCATAAATGAAAGAAATCTGTGGACAAAATGAGCAAGGCCTTCAGGCTTTAAACGATGACCTCTCTGATGGCAAGAGACAGTGATTTGGTATTTAACCTTTCTGTACCCGTTCAGTTTTATGAATCACTGGAGTTCCTCTGCTGATCTTCACTTTGAATTGCTTGCTGTGGCAGTTTGCTCCAAAGGAAATGCCTTCTCAGAATTTCAGGGAAAAGACATTTCATTGTTGTTGTTTTTTAAGTGTGGAAAAACAGTCGAGAATTTAGTTTAACAATTAATGTAACAGATTAATTCTTGCTTTAAAGAGGGCAAATTCTTTACAATTTACTTTGGGAATATTTCTGGTTTTTGAAGTTGTTTTTCCTGATTGCCTTCTTCCTTCTTTTTCTTTTGACATTTTGAGTTTTCAGAATACTGATAAAAAATAACAAGATACTTTGAAACAGAGAAACTAAATATCTTTTATAAAATACATAAAATTGGATAGCCCATGGAATATTTTTTTATTAATAGATTGTATTAATTTATTATATATATATTTTATATTCTAGATAGATTTTTAGACTCATTTTACTCTAATCTACTTTTCCCCTGTACTTATTTCTCATGCCTGTATCTAGTCACAAGGTGAGAAAAATATTCATGTTTAATGATAGTAAGGTTATACACTTAAAGTCTAAGGAAACACCACCAATGATGCATTTAGTGCATTATTTTCTTTATATAGTAAGCAGTGATTCACATATAATTCAGACTCAGTTTGCCTCTGTGGGTACTCTTAGAACTTAAAGACTGATTTATATGTCAGTGAAACATTTGTAGTTTTTGAAAATTCACTGTTTTTTAGCATTTTTAACTATAATTAAAGCTGATAAAGGCATAATGAATATGGTCTTGTAAATTTGTAGGAAATTACACAGCTGTAAAAGAGGGGAGGGACGGCTGTGCTTTGTCATTGTAAGCGCCTCATTGTGACATACAAAATCTTTCACTAGGGCAGTCCCAGGAATCCGCACACACAAAGACATACAATGGTAGAGTAGGCTTTTTTGCAGACCTACAATGGGAAAACTTCAACTACAGACACCCTCCCCCCATGACTGCTATCAAACCACATTCACCCCAAATCATCATGCAACCTCTTTACTGTATATACTGGACCAAACACTGATTAAACCCAAAATGAGAATGTTTATTTTTATGCCACTACCTATAATTCTGGGCCAGCAGCCATATCATACTGCAGCTCACAACTGGCAACCCACTGAAGCTAAGCAGGTGTGAGCCTGGGGGGAAGAATTAATAGTATTATCATTTAATCAGTTGTCTAGTTACTGTACCTCCCAGTGAGACAATCTAAAGTCCTGTTGTCCCTTTGGTGGCCTCTAGTGGCGTGTCAGCTGCTACTACAGTCACTTCATAGGCCTGCCTGTCAAACTTATCCAAGGCTTTGGAACAGTGAAACACTGTGTAAAAATAGTCCCCAGTATTGCTTGACATATTAGCTTTTCATAAGAACTGTAAGTAAAAGTTTGATATAGACCCAGTCTGTTCAATTAAGTTATGATTTATATACTGGATAGGCAATATTATGGTGAGCTGTACTACTGTATGTCAGTAGGTTTCAAACAGAGATTTAAATGGTACATCAGTTAGACACTTTTTATCAGTCATTAAAATGTGGAGTCATTAGTTAGGGGAATCTAATCACATGTAATAATGATGTAACGGTCCATCACAGCTCATTGTAATAAAAATGATAGAATGTTTTATTCCGTAACTATGACTAGTCCTTTGAGTTGCATGCATACCAAAATACAATATTAAGACAGAATGAATTTAAAGTTAGGAGAAAGGTATAGTTCATTGTAAACATCTCTATATCTGCTTTTAATGCAACATAGAGATAGAAGTGTTTCAAGCACTGTTAATGTTTAATTCTCTTAATGAAGTGTGTATAATAAAGCTTCCATTTTAGTTTTTGTGTACCTGACTAACTTTTTATCCATCAAGTTACAATAGTTGAAATAATTTAAAATTTTGGGGGGGGGGGTTATTATTTTATGAAATTGCTTTTAGGACAGGCCCTTTGTCCATTGAAATGAATAAAAAGTATAGAATGTTATTTGAATGTCAAGTTTTCTATTATCCTTACTTGCTGTTATAAGGTTTCTTCACTATTTAAGTCAGTAAAAAATGGTTTATACTTTTGTGGTCTGGCTTTGTAAAGATTAAGTCCACATTTAATTTTTCATTCTTGATAAATTAAGTGTATTATAAACATGCAAAACAATCTCTTGTTTTTTTATTTTTAATGTGTGTAACAGTGTTTTTTAATTCCTTACATTTATCATTTAAATTATATAATTGGATTCATAATTTGTATACATATTTAAGACTGGGAATAATCTGATGTGCTGAGCTACAGAAGACTGAATGAAGTGATAGCATCCTCAGGATATATACAGATTCTTATTTTTGTTCTGAAAGGACACAACTCAACAACTTTTGTTCAGTTTGTAAAAACTGCCAGCACCATTAGAAAGTAGATTTTTCCGTACTTTCAAAACTACTTTTCAATAGACAGTAACCCATGATTAGACACTTTGTTTAGTTTCTATGGCAATTATTAAGTAAACACATTTAAGATGGGGTTGTAAAGTTTGTCATGTGTTAATGTACTTAGACTTTCTTAATGATCTGGGTAAATACCTGCTCATTGCTTAACAGATGAGGTAAAAGCTTATAGTGTGTGACAGTGTATAAATGGGACCATTAGAAATGCCTGTTACCTTAAATAGAACATGAGGCATGCATCCACTGTTCAGCTTCATGTTAAAATACAGTTATATAACAGGTCATCACTATTGGCATTTAAGCAACTTAACATCAGTGATAAATTGGGATAGGCCTTCTGATGAATATGGCTTCAGAGACCCCAAAAGATCTAGAGTGTGGCTATATATATATACATGATGATGACATCACCTTCCACAGATGTGCACTGAAGTCTGTTGTGCTTCTCCTGGGTCAAACAAAGATATGTCAAATGGGCAAATGACATCAAATCCCCCAAGTGAAAGGAAATGAAGCACTGGATCTCCTAATATTCTGGTAAGACTAATATTATTTCTAGATTTTCATGCGTGAAACATGTTTAAGAGCTCTTGAGGATATGACAGCTGTTTTGCTAACTTTAAAATACGTTTACCTTTCTTTCAGAACATACTTAAAGTAAAACCCTCCTTAATGTCTACTTTTTATTTTCTTGATACATTAAAACTAAATGTCTGCAAAGGTATTTTCATGTATTTGTGTGGATTTTTTTATTGTATGCATTTTTCATTATGTATAAAATAATTATACTTCATTACATGTTAAATAATATTTAAGATTAATAATATTAAGATAAAGTGATAGTATTTACTTTTCTTATTAATTTATACTCCTAATACTACACAAACTAATAACAAATGCCTGAAAGAGCATTTGAATAACCATACCTTTTAGGTGACAAAATTAATCTTAAACTGCTTTAAATGTGATATAACAAGCCCTGTGTCTAATAAATTAGAATATGAAATCAGTTCTCACCCAAACTGTTTAATTGTTTAATATCATTAAAACCCTGATTAAAAAAAGTAATCATTGTTAATGCAATTTTGCCAAGAATGATGGGCACCTCATCACACCAAATGTTCCTTCCTTAAATGTTCCTTAGACTTGGAAAACACTGCAGATATTTGAAGTTATTAAGCATTTACTGTTCAATCCACCACAGTTAGCTCCATTTATTTAA